CACAAGGGTAGAATGAGTGTGTGGGACTTCCTGGCTTTACTTCTCTCTAAGATGTCCAGACCTCCACTACCCAGGCACACCCCGAGGTCCTCTGCAGAGTGAGATGCTTGTCCCAGGATTAACTGCGAAGGTGACTAGCTATTCTCACTCTCCTCCATTGGAAAACTAAAGGACAACGTGGTGTCCTCTCTGAGGACAGAGGTTACACCTGTGCTCCTACTAAAGCTTGAGTCCTGGGGCCAAGGACTGGGTACTATGTTCTCTTCAGAGACATCACCAACATTCAGCACTGGGATCCTGACCAGTTCAGCATGGAAGAAGGAAGGGGAAAGGACACACGATGTGGGGATGGACCGTGGGGTCATGAGTCAGGAGAGGCTGGTCTCACTCTGAGAGCAAAAGACTGTAGCCAAGCCACTAGGACCAGTTTTGTACTTTGTCCTGGGAACTTCAGCCACACACAGATGGGTCCCAGACAGAAAGCTCAGTCCTCCCTGCATCCCTCTCAAGACCTCCTAGAACAGTGGTCTCTTCTCCCTACACCTCCTCTTCCCTCCCCTGTCTTCCTCTCTCCTCTCCTATCCCCTCCCCTCCCTTCTCCTCCCCTTCCCTTCCTTCTCCTTCCCTTCCCTCCTCTGCCTCCCCATCTTTCTCTCTCTTCTCCTCCCCTCCCCTCCTTTCCCCTTCCCTCCCTTCCATTCCCCTCCTCTCCCCTCCCTTCCATCCCCATCCCTTCCCCTCCCCTCCCCTCTCCTCAGTGTTCCATCTCAGACACCCCTCTGACAGTCAAGCTCATCCCATAGCCAATGAACAGATGTGTAGCTCACCAACGAAGACTCTGTCTCTTGGGAACCCACCCTACTTCCTTACCTTTTGGGTGTATTTCTTTCTCCACAGTAGTTGTAAAACCAGTTTCACAATCAGGTAGCAGACATAGAGAAGCAGCAACCCCAGCCCACCTAGTAAGGTGTCGTTGAGGTCTATATGATAGGAAGCTGAGCCAAAGGTCAGCCATGTCTCAGCGAGGCTATTCAGAGATGAGAGAATCTTCTCCATAGTGTAAACAGCATGGCTGCCTGAGGTGACTGAGTCTGAGGCTTCCTGAGTTTGACTGGAGTCCCAGGCCTGCATCACAGAGCAGGGCAGAGTCACAAGGGTTCCTGAGGGTGGGGATGAGGGTGTGTCTCCAGCCCTTCCCCCACCCAAGGAGCTCTTCAGAGCCCTCTGCCCAAGCCTGCTGCTCCCCTCCTCCATCTGCTCCTAACTCACACCTTCCTCCTCTGGGGAACTTTCTGTTTGCTTCACCAGCAACCCAGGTGGTCACCCAACCCTCTTGCTGTTTGGAGAACCTGATTTGGACCTCAGCGGTTCCAGTACCTCATGGTGTCTGGACCTTGGCTTTTGCTCAGACATTAACTGCCTGAGGACTGTAAGATCACGGTAGATGTTAAGTACAGAACGGCCATCTCTTCCATTAACATAGGCCCAAGACGTGAAGTTATTTTATACACATTCTTTTCAAATCAGTTAGTAAATTTTGCATGTGAATCAGCCTGTAATGTCTTTAATTATTTATTTTTTTAAGATTTACTTATGTATTATGTATACAGTGCTCTGGCGTGTATGCCTGCAGGCCAGAAGAGGGCACCAGATCTCATTACAGATGGCTGTGAGCCACCGTGTGGTTGCTGGGAATTGAACTCAGGACCTCTGGAAGAGCAGTCAGTGCTCTTAACCTCTGAGCCGTCTTTCCAGCCCCCCTGTAATGTCTTTAATAAGAGGCACAATCAAATCAGAAAACTGTCTCTTCATAAATTGTCCTCAGTTGGACAAATCAGAATATGTGCACATGTCTGTGTGGGGTACAAGACATTCTCAATGTGTAATAAGTTTCATCAGCCAGAAAACAATGTAAAGCTTATTCCCAAGAATACCAGACATGCACTCAGTTTATATTTAGCTTTGTGCTTTAAATTTGGCTTCATGTGGACAAGCTCACAAGAAAGTCAGAACCAAGGTACACCAGAAACAGACTAGGGTGAATGTGGCCAGCATACAATCTGGCGAAAGAGGTTCGGGTGGGGAAAGTTAAGGAATGTGGGTGTCTTAGTTAGGGTTCACCATTGCTGTGAGGAGACCTGAGTTAGTTGTTGGTGTCTTAGTTAGGGCTCACCATGACCACAACAGCTGTTATAAAAAAAACATTTAATTGAGGGTAGCTCACAGTTTCAGAGGTCCAGTCCGTTATGATTAAGATGGGGAACATGGCAGTGTGCAGGCGGACATGGTGCTGGAGCTGAGAGGGCTCCATCTTGCACACAGCAGGAAGTGGACGGACTGTCCCACTGAGTGAAGCTTGAGAAAAGAGACCTCAAAGTTTGCCCCCATGGTGACACACTTCCTCCAATGCGTCCATACCTCCTAAGAGTGCCACTCCCTTTGGGGGGCATTTTCTTTCAAATCACCACAGTGGGGCTTATGGCCAGATCAGTTGCAAAAACAGGACTGATCCTAGGACAGGCAGTGTGGACCAGACTGATTTAACAAAAAAATATATGTATATATTGGCTTATATATGTGTATATGTATATATATGTATGTATACGTATATGATGGAGGAAGGTCATTGGCTAATAAAGGAACTGCCTTGGCCCATTTTATTGGTTAGAAGATAGGTGGGAGGAGTAAGCAGAACAGAACGTTGGGAGGGACAGGAAGTGAGCTCAGTGTCGACAGCTCTCCTCTCGGGAGCAGACGCCTGAGAGAGACGCCATGCCCTGCTCCTGGGATGAAGTTCCGACCCAGGATGGACATAGGCTAGAATCTTCCCGGTAAGCGCACCTTGGGATGCTATACACAGATGATTAGAAATGGGCTAAATTAATATGTGAGAATTAGCCTAGAAGAGAATGGGCCAAGCAGTGTTTAAATGAATACAGTTTGTGTGTTGTTATTTCGGAGCATAAGCTAGCCAGGCTGCCGGGGTGCTGGGGATGCAGCCCCGCCTCCCCTTATTACTACACGTATATATGCATACATATTATGCCTAAAATAAAACACAGGGTCAGACTCCAGAAGCTTAAACCAACACAAGCTACTTTGTTGTGTAGAAATAAACTTTTTTCTCCCATGTATTTTTACTCTGCTGGCTGCAGTTGTTGCAAAGAACTGTACAAACTGGTATCAGGACAACCTTACAGGCAAGTGCCCAACTAGGCTGGTCATGGAACAGTGCATCCTGGTAGGCAAGCCAGAGGAAGCTCAGGGCCAGCGGGTTTACAGGGAAGGCTGCTGGGACCAGCAAACTGTAGCGAGTCACAGAGTGTGAAAGGCTGGGCACACTAGATTGCACTAAGGACCAGCGCAGGCTTCATAGACAAGGCTGTGGTGGGGGCTCTGTCACATTGGGATTAGTTTAGCGCAATCTGGGAACAGGGCACTTCTAGATACAGGAGACTGCTCTGCTTAGAGACATTGGGTGAGAGAAACTGCTAAATTAAACCAACATATGTATTTTAAAACGTCTTAACTTGAAAATGTAAGTGAACAAATGTATTATGTTAGGGAAGAAGTTATGCTTTTATTTCCATAGGAATGAGAGGTTGTTGATTCATTTCAGGTTGATTTGGATCAGGTTTGATCAGGAGGGACCCCTCGAAAATCCTGGCTATAGACACAAAGAAATAAGCCTAGAATACCTACAAAACATGTAACGTGTATTTTACTTGCTCAAACATAAAATATCATCTTTGGCTGATGTGTACAAAACTAATATACACAAATCATGTGTATATTAGTACAGTCTATACTTGTACTAATATAGATATGTATGTTACCTTTAAAAGTTTATGTATTTTCAGAACAAGGGGACCAACCACCAGTGAAAATGGATGGCCCAGGTGATCCAGCATCTCAAAATGCCTGTTACAGTCTCCTCAGAATTCAGCATCCAAAACAGCTTCAAGACTGCTGGCTGAGATGATCCAATCTCACAGACTACTCTCGTCAAGACTTACCAATTATCCTGGTTTTCTCTAGGTTCCCCCAAAGACACCAGTGCCCACAGACAGCAGGAAGGAGTCTAGAGAATGACGCCCACATTCCAAAGAGATGGGATATGGGTGGGTTTTGGTTATTCAATGGATTATGGGTGTTTGCCATTGTCTCCTTCACAGCTTACTCTCAGCCAAGCCTGCCTGAGTGAGTCACGAAACTCCGAAGCAATTGCGAACACAGGCAGGGAGAGTCTCTGTATAGGTAGAGTAGGAAGAAGTCAGGGTCGATAATAATGACGTAACTGATGGTAAGGGAGTAAAGATCGACTCTTCTTGGGCACCAAAACAGTACCCTGGCTTGTCCAAGGGTTTATGTATGTCTAGAGCATAATCAAAGCCTTGATGCAACTGATGTTCATTAACTGCCAGGAATGATGGTATAACTCATATCCAAGAATACAGGATTCAATAAAACACATTTAATATTTATATCAGTTTTGCGATTTGACTCTGTCTGTCAGACTAAAGACATTAAGGAAACTAAAATGAGAACATTTACTAGTGCATATTCACAAAGATAAATAGGCAGAGGGAATAACCATGCCTCAGGTGGTCCATATATGAGGATATGAGTCCCCAAGGCTATCAACGTCTGAGCAAAAGCCAAGGTCCAGACACCATGAGGTACTGGAACCGCTGAGGTCCAAATCAGGTTCTCCAAACAGCAAGAGGGTTGGGTGACCACCTGGGTTGCTGGTGAAGCAAACAGAAAGTTCCCCAGAGGAAGAAGGTGTGAGTTAGGAGCAGATGGAGGAGGGGAGCAGCAGGCTTGGGCAGAGGGCTCTGAAGAGCTCCTTGGGTGGGGGAAGGGCTGGAGACACACCCTCATCCCCACCCTCAGGAACCCTTGTGACTCTGCCCTGCTCTGTGATGCAGGCCTGGGACTCCAGTCAAACTCAGGAAGCCTCAGACTCAGTCACCTCAGGCAGCCATGCTGTTTACACTATGGAGAAGATTCTCTCATCTCTGAATAGCCTCGCTGAGACATGGCTGACCTTTGGCTCAGCTTCCTATCATATAGACCTCAACGACACCTTACTAGATGGGCTGGGGTTGCTGCTTCTCTATGTCTGCTACCTGATTGTGAAACTGGTTTTACAACCACTGTGGAGAAAGAAATACACCCAAAAGGTAAAGAAGTAGGGTGGGTTCCCAAGAGGGTTTGCAAACGGGGCTGCACAGGTGTGGCCATTCCTGCTGTCCTCGTGGGCCACTTTCTTTGTCTACAGGTTCTCTTAAGTGCTTTTTCTCTTTCTTTTTAAAAGTTTTCCATATTTATTTATTGTATTGAATGTATGTTTTTCCTGCTTGTACATCTGTGCAGCACATACATGCCTGGTGCCTTCAGAGGTCAGCAATGCGAATTGTCTGCCTTGTATTCCTACAGGGGACTGTGAGCCACCATGTGTATGCTGAGAACTGATCCAAGGTCCTCTAGGGGTCTCTCAAGTGCTTTTAACCACTGAGCCATCTCTGCAGCCCCTTGAATATTTTCTCAAAGGTGCTCCTATGTGGCCCTCCTGTTTCTACTTGCCTTCTCTCTGAGGTGTGACCCTGTTTTTCCAGGTCAGAGAACCGACCAGAGAGACTTTGAGGAGAGGACGAAGCTGCAGACAATCCCGCAAAGGTGATCTATTACCCTCAATTCCTGGTCCCTCTTCCTGGGTCTCCACCCTGGGCAGCAAACTTTCCTTTTCACCTGCTGGACGTGGCTACACTCTAAACTCTTGTGTCCTTACAGCCCCCCAGGAAGCCATCTGATCCCCCAGGCTTTCAGCAATGGGACATCCAGATTCCCTCCACAATGGCTGTCGCTCGGCAACTGCTCAGGTCAGTTGCCTGCTCTCAGGCTCCCCTGGAAGACGGTGCTGCCTTGGTGTCTCCTTTGCCTTCTACAGCTCCTGTGACAGCATCCTCAGCTCCTCTATCCTCTCATTTCCCAGGAAATCAGCCAGGACCGCCAGTTCCGGAAGCACGGCTCCAACCATCTTCCCTCTGCACCCTCTCATCCAACCAAACTGCTCCTCTGGACGGCTTACCTTCTTCTGCACCTCTCATGGCTCCTCGGTCCCACAAGCCAATGCTCCCTTAAAGCCTGGGGGTTACTGAACCATATCCCACGCAAACCATTTGCCTCTTTCCACCTCCGCTTCCTCATACCACTCAGGAAGCACAGTCAGTTCTCTGACCAGAAGCTCCCCTGCCTCTGGTAAAGAGCCCTGGGGAGCTGTCCCCAATGTCCCAACAGTCAAAGGCACTGTCTATAAAGGACAGGCTGTGTCACTGTCCTCCCAGCCCTGGTCCAGTGCCAAAGACCAGACTTAACTAAGTTGGGGCACACTCTATTAACCAGTAGCTTCTAGGCCCGCATGCTCCTCAAGCCTCGTATCAGAGACTTGCAAAGACCCACACTGCAGAGTCCGGAAACCATTCGTCTCCCAGCCCTGGTGTCTTGGCACTCTTCAAGAGGCAAGAGAAAAGTGAGACTGATTTCACCACATCTGAACATAAGAAAGAGAAAACAGAATCTTTTCCAATGTCAGTAATACTTCAGGGAAAATCTCAGCATCAACTTCTGCTTCAAAGACCTTGGAAGCCTCCTCCTGTTTGGATAAAAAGGTGATCCTGAGGACCCTCACCTACACCAGCATGATGGAGGTGGGTCATTTGTCTATCTGTTGCTTTCATTGGTTAATAAAGAAAACTACTTGGCCTTTGATAGGACAGAAAATTAGGTAGGCGGAGAAAACAGAACGGAATGCTGGGAGAAAGAATGCCGAGTCAGGCAGTCGCCATGATTCTTCCACTCCAGACAGACGCAGGTTAAGATCTTTCCTGGTAAGCCAGCTCATGGTGCTACACAGAATATTAGAAATGGGTTAGATCAATATGTAAGAGCTAGCCAATAAGAGGTTAAAACTAATGGGCCAAGCAGTGTTTAAAAGAATACAGTTTCCATGTAATTATTTCAGCTGTAAAGCTAGCCAGGTGACGGAGCACAGCCCGCCCCTCCACTTACAACACCAGCAGCCGTCTCACCCCAAGACCTCTGAAGACCAGGCAGACATCCAGGACACCCAGCTCTCCTGGTGCCTCCCGTCTCTACACAGCGAGTCCCTGAAACATTAGGCTGATGCCTCAGGCAGTGGTTACTCTGCCTGTGTTCTTTTCCACAGAACGGCTAAGGCTTCCACAGATAATGACTCTCCTACCCTTACTCACCCTGTACCTCGGCCCTTGCCTGACAGTGACCAACAGGTCTGGCTACAAACATTATGCCAATCTCAGACAAGACCTGATTCTCATTGCAAGTCTGAGGTCCAGCCTCAACCCCTAATCCAAACCTGGCCACCTTCTCCTCTATCCCTACTTAGGATCTGTGGGGTGCATTTGCATAGACCCCAGCATGCATGGAAGATAAGGCAGTCACAAGTTGAAGAAAGCATCACAAGCAAGGCATTGTGCACGTGAGTGATTACCCGGGGAAGAGAGGTGAAGGAGCCTGCTTCGGGCACCAAGGGCACATCCCATGGTCCCAACCTAACACTGCCACCACACCCCACTGCCTGATAAGATCACACAGCTTTCTGGTGTCCAAGAGTGAGGACCACTGGCCGGATTGGTCTGTGCCCAGCATGAAGTCCACATATCAGAAGGTGATACAATGCCTCCCAGGGGTCTGTTACTTCAGAAAAACACAGGGCAGGGTTATGAGTGCTATTTCTTATGATAAAATAATGCCCTGTAATTAAAAAAAGGAAGGACAGGGAAACACTGAGAAAAGAGGAGCTTCCTGGGCTGTGGAGTTTAGGCTGCTTTTTGAAAGACCCCAGAGGAGAACGTGGCACATGGCAGGAGGCTGACTCGCTGGGGTGACACCAGCATGGCAAGGGTCTTCAGGAATGATGGGAGGCTGGCCAGGAACAATCTTCCAACAGTTAGGCTGCCTACGCCTCCCAGTCATGGGAGTGATCAGGTTCCTGACCCCACAAATAACAGTCAACCTTCCCTAGCCAGAGTCCTTCCAGTGCTGGATGGACCAGAGAGGATCAGACCTGCATGGGAGGTTGCAGACCTCAAGAAACAGCCTGATGCTTAAATGTCCCTCTTCTCCTATCTCCAGGAATCATGGATCCTACCTAGGCCTGCCTGCCGTTGGCTAGGTCAGGTGTCTTCAGCTGGCCTCACACCTCCATCCACTCCTATTACTCATCAATCGCACCTGGTCCCTGGCTGGATGGAGGAAGCACAGAAGGATGTGGGCAACTTGACACAGCTTTGAGTCTGCCCATTCCCTACCAGAATGGTGATCTGTCTTCCCCCTCAATTTCCCATCTCGGGTGTCTCTCTAAGCTAAACACCCTTCAAAATGGGACAAGACTAGGAAGCAGGTCTTTGCTGAAGAAGGATGGTTTTGTTAAGGTTTATAGCTCCCCTTGTGATGGAGAGGCGAACGGAGGACCACACTGTAAATAAAGGTGTCGTCATTGGAACCATCAGGAAGCTGAGGTTTCTAAAATGAGACACAGATAAATCTTAGTCCTAAAACAGCTTGGCGGCAGAAGGCACTTGAGCAACAATTAAGTAGCAGGGACCATCAAAGGAGCAGTTTTCCAAATTATTTAATATATACTTATATCACAGGAGAGTGAGAAAATCCAGTGTTACACTACTAAAGAGGCTTCTCATTTCCATTCATTTCTCTTCCAGGTCGTATAGCAGAAATCCCTGGGGCTGTGGTGCAGCTCGTGTCATTAGCCTGTGGTACAGGTGAGGGGGGCAGCTGGGTAGAGCTGCCTTTACATTTATATAGTCAAAGGACAGCCACAGGCACTCCTCCGCCAGGACACATGTCCCAGTTCCATGGAAGGCGGGAGTGTCTGCTTGCTTCAGGACCTGACCGGTGAAGATGCGGCTTTCTCTCTACAGAGCTCAGGGAACGGGAGGGAATTTCAAATGTTCTGCATGGTAACCTACCTGGCGTGGGCCTCTGGAACACAGGTTGTGACTGTTTAATGTAGTGTCTGTCTTCATCAGCAAAACCTCAGAAGCTGAAATTGAAGTCCAAGTACTTCCAAGCAGGCATCGAAGAGTATATGAAAATATGGATAGCGGTGCAGCCCCAGGGAAGAGTACTTGCCCCATGGATGTAGCCTGAGTTCTGCCCTAAGACTGCCAAAAAAAGAGAGAAACTTTGCTGTGTAAAAAAGTGCATGTTTAGCCGGGCGGTGGTGGCGCACACCTTTAATCCCAGCACTCGGGAGGCAGAGGCAGGCGGATCTCTGTGAGTTCGAGACCAGCCTGGTCTACAAGAGATAGTTCCAGGACAGGCTCCAAAACCACAGAGAAACCCTATCTCAAAAAACCAAAAAAAAAAAAAAGTGCATGTTTAGGTAGTGCAGGTTTGCAAAGGGCTTGCTTATGCTGTAAATCACAGTCTGACAGTAACAAATGACCCCAAAATCTGCAATACTTATACAATAAACAGTACAACCAATTTTAGTTTCCTCTAAAATTTGTTAGTATTAGTATTTATTAAGTTTTAGTCCTTCGACTACGGGTTCTATTTCTATTTTTGAAGAGTTTATTTGGGCTCATATATCCATCACGATGGAGAAGGCTGCAGGCAGGAATGTGGCAGCAGGAGCAGAGGGCAGAGGGCTGAGAGCTCACATCCTCACAGACACAGGGGCACACGGCTGAGGGCTCACATCCTCACAGAGACGGGTACACGGCTGAGGGCTCACATCCTCACAGACACAGGAGCACACGGCTGAGGGCTCACATCCTCACAGACACAGGGGCACACGGCTGAGGGCTCACATCCTCACAGACAGACACAGGAGCAGGGGAGGTTTCCAGTATGTTCTGTTGTCTGCTGTACAAACTTTTCACAGTCAGATAACTACAGACAGGCTGTTACTTGGCATGATTCATAGACCTCTGGGCTGGCGGGTTTTTGTCAGTTGACACAAACCTAAACACATCCTGGGAGAGAGAATTTCAACTGAGAAAATGCCTCTACGAGACAGATCTATGTCTTGATGTGAGAGGGCCCAGCTCCCTGTGGAGATGCCAGTCCTGGGCAGGTGGTCCTGGGTTGTATAAAAAGGCAGGCTGAAGCCGGGCAGTGGTGGCGCACGCCTTTAATCCCAGCACTCGGGAGGCAGAGGCAGGCGGATCTCTGTGAGTTCGAGACCAGCCTGGTCTACAAGAGCTGGTTCCAGGACAGGCTCCAAAGCTGCAAAGAAACCCTGTCTCAAAAAACCAAAAAAAAAAAAAAAAAAAAAGGCAGGCTGAGCAAGCCATGGGGAGCAAACCAGCATGAAGCCCTTCATGACCTCTGCATCAGCTCCTGCCTTTAGTAGACTCCCTGACTTCCCTCAGTAACAGACTATAACCTGTAATATGAAATAAAGCCTCCCCACCAACAAGCGGTTTTTCTGCCATGGTGTTTAGCACAGCAGGGCATCCGACACAACCCTGCATGCACTGGGTCTCCAGTAGGCATGGTAAGCCAGGACACTAGTAGATTATGTTTGCAGCCGACAGGAAAACTCAGATACCTTTCATACAAACGATTAGTTGAACACATCAAACCTGCTCAGGGGAATACATGCAGTCATGAAAAGGGGGGACCTTTACAAAGTGATCTGCAAGGTTGAGTTACTAGGGTAAAAAACGAAATGTAACCACAGCACAGACTGTATGCTGCCATCTTTGGAAGAAGCGAGAGAGACGCACGCACAACGCCATGCAGCCAGTGGCCCTCCTCAGGGAGACATTTTTTTTTTTTTTTGATTTTTCGAGACAGGGTTTCTCCGTAGCTTTTGGTTCCTGTCCTGGAACTAGCTCTTGTAGACCAGGCTGGCCTCGAACTCACAGAGATCCGCCTGCCTCTGCCTCCCGAGTGCTGGGATTAAAGGCGTGCGCCACCACCGCCCGGCTCAGGGAGACATTTTTGGTTGACGCATCTTAGAAAGGGAGGGAAGGATACTAGCATCCCACATAGCTATTTGGGGACACACAAAACTCAGCAAGCGTTACAGTGACTTCTACAAAGGATAAAGAGACCCAAACACAGCTACATGGCTCACCCCCAATTCTTCAGGCTGCCTGCTGAGCTTCAATCCTCCACTCTCTCCTTTGCACGCTGACCACAAGAGCCTGGGAATAGTCCACAGCAGACACTTAACGAATCAGTGACATCTTCAGTGATTCGACGCCCTGCTAGAAAAAGTGCTTGTCTGCCTTCCTCTCACTACCACAGCGCCCCCTCCCTTACTGGCAAACAGTCACTTCTGTGACCTTAAGGATTTCCAAATGTCACAATGAACAGTGACTCAATTACTTACTCTCCACTAAAGCACTAGCACCCTCCACATTCAGAGTTGGGCCTGGGGTCTACCAGGCAGATGACACTCAGCCTTCGCCCCAGGACCTCAGAGATTAGTGACAGAGATGGTTCTCTAAGCGGACTCTGGGAAACCAAGTGGTGAGCGCAGTGGCAGACACTGTCATGGGGCTATGGGAAATGTGCCTCGTTGTGCTTGTCAGGAAGAAGACTGTTGATGGGCAATACAGATAAAGGAAGGAGCTCGAGGCTATATGGTGACAGACATATTGGGGTTGTTCCTACCACTAGGGGTGGAGGACACAGTTCCATCTCCTCTGAGGCTGTTTCAGAAAAGTAGAATCCAGCTAGCACAGCTGAGCCTCTTCCACCACGAAGAGTCCCGCCCTCTGTCTGTCTTCTTCTGTGCCTCTGTCCTTTCCATCCCAGGATCCTATAGATGCTTGGCCCTGACTCTGGCCCATTCCCCATTGCCTGGGGTCCTCTTTCCTCCACCTCCACGTGTCCCTCACGGAGGGTCTCCAGACTAGCAACAAGAGAAACTACAAAGCAGAGAGAAAGGTGGAAGAGCGTCCTCTGGTGTTTTTCAGAACCGGAGCTCATGAACCAAAACTGAATGATGAGAATAGGTGAAAAGTCAAACTGGGTTCCAACCTGCACTGCCAAGGACGACCTCTTCCTGCCACAACAGCCTTGAGGATACCATCCATCCAACCAGGAAGTCCCTAAGCAGGTACAGGCTCTGGAGACCAGTCATGAAGCTTGGGATCCCAGCATTAAGCAGACTGTTTCTCTTCCTCCTGCTCGTCTCCCCATCCTCCCAGGCTAATGCGTAGCTGTCCGTCTATGCTTTCCAAATGCTAGGTTGTGGAGGTGCGCCATGACATTTTAAATTAATTAACATTTGTATCCTAGACATTGAATCTAAGACCCCATGCATGCTAGGTATATACACCTCTATCACAGAACATCCCCAGCACATGCAAAGCTCCCTGCATGGGGTTTTACTGCTTCTGATTCCACCCTCGCCTACCCTACTGCCCTCCAGACAATGCCTTCTCTTCCTCGTTTCTTCTTCATGCACTGGCTCGTGTTTTAGACTTGCGGGACTTTCATGGGCATACGCGCTGTGGATGGCACACAGGCCTAAGCCTGAGCCCTGCCAGTGTCTGCAGTCTTGTCTACAAACTCCTTTAGCCTTCTCCCCTATAGAAAATACATCCCCGCTTTATCTCCTATGCGGATAGCCTCAGACTGTGCAATCACAGCAGGGTTTTCTCCCCACTCCCATCAACACATTTTGTCCTATGGCGGGGTGTCCCTTCAGCGTGAGTTAGAGCCTGTCCTGGAGTCTGCAAGCTCCCCAGCTCCCCGGGACAGCCAGTATCACAGGCTTCTCTTCTTGCGCCTCTCCTGGCTACCAACTGCACATGTGGAGTCTGTATTTATTGCTGTCACCCAAATCTAGCACTCAGCAGGGTGATGCTTCCTCTGCATCTGTTCAGGCTCGGCTTGGATGGCTCACATAGCTGTGGTCCCCCTGGAGAAAGGCCCGAGGCTGAGTGAAAGAAGCTGGCGTCCTCAGAGTCCCAAGGCTGACGCAGGCTTCTGCATGGAGACACAGGCTTCTGACAATGTGGCCCAGACACCAGCATTCACACCGTGTCACTCAAACAGGGCCACACAGACGGCCAGCCAGAGTCAGATGTGAGCATGTACTCAGCACACAGGAACTTTGAGAATCCTGGGGCTGCTTTAATTCCGCCTATGAAATGGTCAGCCTTTCTTTTCTCTTGAAAATGTCCACTTTCTGTTATTGTTATTATTAGCTTTTCTGTCCTCCTAAATGGATACTTTTCTGGGTAAGGAGGTGAGTGATTCTTCTGCTCAGGTATAATCAGAACATCAGGCAACAAAATAGAGCAGTTGAGCCGGTAGTCTTTGGACTAAGATTACACCTTAACATATATTTGTATAAAAATTTGGAGTATACCAGATGGTGGTGGCACATGCTTTTAATCCCAGCACTCAGGAGGCAGAGGTAGGTGGACGTCTGTGAGTTCAAGGCCAGCCTGGTCTACAGAGGGAGTTCTAGGACAGTTAGGGCTACATAAAGAAATCGTGTCTTGAGAAAAAAAGAATTTGGAGTTCTGAGATAAAGAGTTGGTTCAAACATGGTTAACTTGACTAATATAGACTAATAGGAAAAACAAAATAAGAATAAAATGGCAAAACTGTGTCACCACGTCTACAAAGTTCAGAAGACGTTTGGAAGTGGCACCGTGACCTCACTTCCTTTGTCATTCTATCTGACCTTTGACCTTTGATTTTGACCTTCCCCTTTGTTTCTTTTTTCAGGAGCTTGGAGATTCAGATCCTCACACAATGTCTCTCCCAGAAGAACATCCCAGTCAGACACTTGGCAGCAGGACGCCATCGCGTCACCAAATTTCGGTATGAACTTGACATCACCATACTACTCACAGGCAACTTATAGTAAAGACTGTGACTGTACACAGATGTGGCTGGGTGTCGCCTGGAGGGCCAGGGCTTCATTTCAGGAACTTCATTTAAAAAGAACAACACTTTATGTACATGCGTGTTTTGCCTTCTGTGCACCATGTGTGTGCCTGGTGTCCACAGAGGCCAGAAGAGGACATCAGATCCTCCGGAACTGGAGTTACAGACCATGTGGGTGCTGGGAACCAAGATGGGTCCTCTGGAAGAGTGGCCAGTGCTCTTAACCACTGAGCCACCTCTCCAGCCCCCTTGACAGTTTTTGCCACCATAAGACCTAGCTCTCTAAGGTCAGGGCAGCACCCGGGCTAAGCCCTTGTGCTGAGGAAGCTGCTCTACAAGAGACAAGCCCATCTTAGTCCACTCTGTGCTCTTTTTCTTGCAACAAAATGACCGAGAGGGGAGAGAGACCTCACTGGGCCACTGGACCCAGAAGCTGAGGGTTATTGACTTAATTTTCCTTTTTTTTTTCTTTTTCTTTCTCCTCTGGGGATAGACCCCAGGGCCTTGCACTCGTAGGCAAGCCCTTTACCCCTGAGCAGCTCCCCCCAGGGAAATGGCATACACTTGGGCTGCAACCTGAGATAGTAGACTGTCTGGCTTCTCAAGGAAAGCCCACAGATGCTTTTCAAGAACGAACTGATCTGTAGGCAGGACCCTATAAGAAAGCAAGGTTTTATTCTCTCTCCGTAGGACTTTAGATGGAAAGGTACATGGTGAGGAATCACTTACAGTTTGTTCTGCCAACAACCGTTCCCAAACACTCAATAATGCAATCATTTACTTAGGAAAATACTTGGACGACAGCCTCCTTTGCCTTGCATTCTGGAATATTCCGAAATTCTGGTGTCTACATGATCTGTTAGTTTCTTCCAAACAAGGCCGCAGCTCACCTCAGCCATCCCTCTGTACCGCCACCAGAATGGCAGTGCTAGACAGCTCTCAAAAGCCACCAAGTCCAAACCTAAACAGAGATCCACCAGCCTTTGCCTCCTGAGTGCTGGGATTAAAGGCATGATACATCCCCGCCTAGCTAAGCATGTGTCTTAAATTTATCTCTTGAATGATGAACCTGGCATTCTGCCCGTTTTCAATGACACATTCTGCTACTGATGTGGTTTACTGAGGCAAGGACACCTTGCAAAGATGAATGTTTCTGTGGGCAGAAATCATTACGTTTTCATTGATCTCATGGCTTCCACGCCCTCCCCCTCACAGCTGCCAGAACTGTATGCATCAGCTGAGAATTTTAATAACGAGAGCAAGAAATCAAATTTCCAAAAACTCTGCGCCACCTCCTTTGAGGAAGCTCAGCAACTCCTCGGAAAAAACCTGGGTACTGTGCCATTTGCTGCTTCTGGTGCTGAGAGAAAAGATGAACCCCACCCTGCCGTACAGAGCCCGGTTAGCAACCAGGAGCAGAATCTCACGTCCCTGGCAGATCTACTTCACCACAGCCTGTTGATGGGCTCCCTCGTCCCTCTGGAGCAGTTATCCAGGACCCAGCGTAGACTGACCCAGGCGGGCATCCCTCCTCCCGTGCACATGTTTCCGTACGGTTTCAGGACCGACGAGCCGATGGTTACGCCAACGCCCACCTTTAGACAGAGGCTTCCAAGCCACACCTTCCGGAAACTTCTCCTGGCTTCTGTTACCCCGGAAAGGCTGGTGTTTGAAGATAAATCGATCCAATTCTTCTCCTTGGAGCCAGGTAATGTAAAGAGGCTCACCTGGGGGATCGCGGGAAGGATGCAAATCTTGCTAAGAATCTAGGTCGATTTCCAGTCAAACGCTCAAGCATTGACCTGCGAATATCTTGCCTATTCTAGGGTTTGTAACTTATGCTGTTGCAGCCTATGGTGGCAATAACACAAAGGAAAGGGTTTTAAAACTTCCATCCTGTGCCGGGTGGTGGTGTCACACACTTTTATCCTAGCACTCGGGAGGCAGAGGCTGGCGGATCTCTGTGAGTTCGAGGCCAGCCTGGTCTACAAGAGCTAGTTCCAGGACAGGAACCAAAAAGCTACGGAGAAACCTTGTCTCGAAAATCAAAGAAAAAAAAAAGAGTTAAGAGAATCTAAGGCCAAGACTCACATCCATCTGTGAGAGGGGATGGTGTGAGCAGGACACTTGACAGCCCTGATGAAGCTCGTCAGCTCCGGAAACACCTGCCACTACTCCTTTTCTGCATCCTGGGCTTGTTAGAGTGTTATCCTTATAGTTTCCTTGACTTCATTGCCTTTCACAGTTGGTGGCATGTGTGCATGCGTGTATGCGTGAGTGCGTGTGTGTCTGTGCGTGTGTGTGCGTGTGTGTGTGTCTGTGTGTGGTGTGTCTGTGTGTGTGTGTGTCTGTGTATTCCCTAGACCTTTCCAGTGCGTGTGTGTGTCTGTGTGTGGTGTGTTTGTGTGTGTTTGTCTGTGCGTGTGTGTGCGTGTGTGTGTGTCTGTGTGTGGTGTGTCTGTGTGTGTGTGTCTGTGTGTTTGTCTGTGTATTCCCTAGACCTTTCCAGTACGTGTGTGTGTGTGTCTTTGTGTGGTGTGTCTGTGCGTGTGTGTGCGTGTGTGTGTGTCTGTGTGATGTGTGTGTGTGTCTGTGTGTGGTGTGTCTGTGAGTGCGTGTGTGTGTCTGTGTGTGGTGTGTCTATGTGTGTGTGTCTGTGTGTGTATGTCTGTGTATTCCCTAGACCTTTCCAGTGCGTGTGTGTGTGTGTCTGTGTGTGTGTGTCTGTGTGTGTGTGTGTCTGTGTGTGTGTGTCTGTGTGTGTGTGTGTGTCTGTGTGTGGTTTGTCTGTGTATTCCCTAGACCTTTCCAGTGCGTGTGTGTGTGTCTGTGTGTGTGTGTCTGTGTGTGTGTCTGTGTGTCTGTGTGCGTGCGTGTGTGTGTCTGTGTGTGTGTGTCTGTGTGTGTCTGTGTGTGTGTGTCTGTGTGTGTGTGTGTGTCTGTGTGTGTGTCTGTGTGTGGTGTGTCTGTGTATTCCCTAGACCTTTCCAGGTTGTTTTATCTCTTTCGAAGAGGATCACTGGCAGAAGAACTTTGTTTCTGTTTCTCACTAGTTTCCCTTAGGATACCAGAGACAACATGAGGAACCAAATACTATATGTACAACAGGAGGCACTCAGTTCCAGGGGGATGTGGGATGTTCCTCTGTATATGTGTTGCTTATTAGGGACTTATTCAGTCTGTGGAGGGTGCTGATGTGTGATTCTTTGATTCTTTCTAGGCAAGCAGTTCCTGGACCTAGTGGACCTGGAGTGGCGGTATTTCAACGGACTTGCAAAGTGGGGGCACATTCCCAGGAAGTTCTCATTCATGGACATAAAATACAACACTGAGAAAAGATTTGTTGAGAGCCAAGGCATGCCTGGTCCGGTTTTTCCTCCTCTAGTTCGGAAGACTTTGGTGATTTATCCTCAGCTTGACCATCATGAAGAGGGACATTATTCTCTTAAGTGGAATGTATAGAACACTGTCAGCAGATCCGGACATGGATTGTCGCGTTTGAGAACATTAAATTTATACAGGAGACAGAAACGCATCAGATCCATTTTTCTATACACTGTGCAAAGCCTAAATCCAAATACTCCCATGGAGGAAATTGTACACCTGATCTGCTAACGTTAGCCCTGGTTCACGATTATGACACTCATCTGAGTCAGGAATGGAGATTCGAGAATAAGTCTCCAGCAAGAGCCAATCTTTACAAAGTTTACCTGACAGCACAAGTCTCCACGCTGAGCCCTGGATCCCACTCCTCCCACAGGTAAGTGCATGGTGATTCCATCCCATAAAAGAGTTGAACAACACAAGAACAGAAGAGTTAAAAATGGGTACAGAGATCATTGGGAGGAGGACCCAAAATAAAGTCTATTACTCAGAGGTAGGGAGGAAGGGGCACCCATAAAACAAGAACAGGGTGATCTGAAAAAGGAACAAGCTGGAAATCTTGGAAGTGAAAAGTAAACCATTGAAATAGTGACACGAACTCCCACACCACCCCCCAAACCCGGGTACGTCTGAAGAGACAGGCTAGTAGTTTGGAAAGCGGTACTGAGAAGCTTCTAGCTATACATCAAAAGGGATGCTATGGAAGATCCTCTACAGCAATCAGATAAGGCAGAACACAGCAAGAGCCGAAAAGAGGTGAGTTTAACTCAGCATCAAGCATGTCATTTAAGATATAAAAAGAAGATCTGGAGAGGAGACTTGGTGGGCGGGCACTTGTCCGGTACGGATGAGGCACAAGGATAAATCCCTAGCAACAAAAAGGCAAAAACAATAGAACAACACAATTATTCAGAAATGAAGAAACACACAAGACTTCCTATAGAAAACCTTTGTTACATCACTAACAAGAAATTAGGAATAAATACCACCCTGGCAACAGGGCAGCAAAACTGCAGCGCACCAAACAGTGGAGGGAACAGAATCTTCTAAAGAAGGATGAATTTCACTAAAATAAGTAAATTAAGGTGGAATTTAATTAGCATTAAACATTGGAGGGCAAAGGTCACCTACTGCAAAGTCTGAGGGAAGCCAACCACCAAGCAGCCAGATTCTTCAAAGAGCTGGAAGTTTAATAAATGTACTTAAATATATGAGAGCCTTAGAGTGTTTACTGTCTACAACCCATTCAGAACCAAACAAAACAAACTCCATTAAAACAAGGATAATAAGAACGCAGAAGAACCAGGTGGTGGCGGCGGCTCACGCTTTTAATTTCAGCACTTGGGAGGCAGAGACAGGTGGATCTTTGTGAATTTGAGGCCAGCCTGGCCAACAGACTGAGTTCCAAGACAGCCAGGGCTGTTACACGGAGAAACCCTGTCTCAAAAAACAAAAACAAAAAGAGCCCAGGAGAAATGCAGGAAATACAAAAGAATGGGCGAAGTATTCATTTCATATGTATACATGACTTTGTACATATTATGTTCATATCTGTTAGTATGTATCCTAGAATTGGATTAGAATGTGCTTAGGCTGAGAACGGCAGCGCTTGCATGCACACCCCATGCTCAAGGTCACAAGTGTGGTGAGAGGTTGGGTTTTAGAGCAGGGTTGCATTTGCATGCTACTGCAGTCCCAGAACTAGGAGACAGAGGCAGCCTGAATTTTTGAGTCCGAGGTCAGCCTGGTCTGTGTAGTGACGGCCTGTGTTAGCAAGGACAATGACAGCAAGCAGGGTTCTACGTGTAAACACTACTCCCCAGCCCCACCCTCGCCTTCCTTCCCTTTCCTCTTTCCTTATTTTTCCTGGTGAGGCCTGCTACAGCCCTGGCTGGCCTGGCATTTGTTACATGGCCCAGACAGACTGTCAGCCTACACCAGTTCTCTTGCTTCCGAGTTTCAGCCGTGAGAGATACAGGTGTGCACCACCGTGCTTGGCTGAATTCATCTTTCATTTTCCACGTTTGTGCTATTTTTGTTTTGTTTCATTGTTTTACCTTTGATTCTCTTTTTTACTTTTTGAGGAAGAGTTTAACTGTAGCTCAAGCCTGACGTGAACCCCTTCGGCCTCAGGTTTTACATACATTCATTTTTAAAACGGGATCTTAGTGTCGAAAGCTTTACTGTCTGTAAATAAGACTTCTGGGTTGTCACAAGAACACTGTGACAACAACAAACAAACACATCCATGTGCGCTTGTGTATTCAGTATGCAAAATTTCCTGAAGCTAAAAATTCAGTTACAACTTTTTTCATGAATGTTGTAGTTCCAAAGGTTTTGGTCATGCTAAGGTTATGAGATGAACTGGCAAGTTTTCCAAGACCATAAGCTTTTGAACAATAAAAATATTATGTAAAGTCCAGCTAAAAGCTCATCTGAAAAACTATTCCATTGGAGATAGTACTTGTTGATTTAATTCTTTTATGTGTGTTCATGCGTGTGCATGCGTGTGCTCATGTGCATGTGAAAGCCAGAAGTCAAACCAAATATTTTTCTCCAATCATTATTCACTGTAGTTTTTGAGGCAAGGTCTCTCTCTAAGCCTGGCACTCTGATCCAGTTAGACTGACTGGCCAGCAAGTCCCTGGGATTCTCTTGTCTCTACCTTCCTAGGGCTGGAATTAGAGAATCCTGCAATTGCTTGCAGCCTCTCCTCCCTCCCTCTTCCCCTCCCCCCACTCCTTTTCCCTCCCTCTCCCTCCCCCCTTCCTTTCTTTAACACAGGTGCTAAGGATTGAATTGAAGTACCCATGCTCATTTATTGACTGGGCCACGTCTCCAGACCCCTTTCTGGCTGTTTTTATTATGAAAATAAAGATTCATAAAACAACAAAAATTGTATAATATAAAACCAACATCAGACAGGTGGTGGTGGCCTACACCTTTAATCCTAGCACTTGGGAGGCAGAGACAGGCGGAATTTTGTGAGTTCAAGGCCAGCTTGGTCTACAGAGTGAATTCCAGGACAGCCAGGGTTACACAGAGAAACCCTGTCTAGAATAAACAAAACTAAAACCAAACAACCAAACAAATAAAACACCAAATTTTAAAGTCATTCAGGTGAAATTTTAGCCCATTGTTTCATCTGCATTTTGTTGTGTCTACTGATGTATTTGAATGCAATCTTGCCCCTCATGTGTAAGAATATTATACATACACATTTACTGTGCACCTCAGAGAATATGCCACATTCTTTCTTGACCACAATAAAATTATCCAACAAAAATAGTGGCAATGATTCTTTGGCCCCATCTTTGTATCTATGTTAGGCTTTCTTTTATTGCTGGGACTGAAACCTAAGAGCAAACATTGAAAGGGAGGAAGGCTTTTTGGCCCATGGTTTTACAGTGTTCACTCCGTGGTGATCTTGCGGCTTTGTTAAGAGGCCTGTGGTACAGCAGAATACTATGGGAGGAGGGCCGGGTAGAGAGTAGCTGCCCATCTGTGCAGACAGAGGCAGAAGGAGGGTGGGATCAGTGACCAGCTAGAACCTTTTTATTTTATTTATTTATTTATTTATTTATTTATTATGTATACAATATTCTGTCTGTGTGTATGTCTTCAGGCCAGAAGAGGGCACCAGACCTCATTACAGATGGTTGTGAGCCACCATGTGGTTGCTGGGAATTGAACTCAGAACCTTTGGAAGAGCGGGCAATGCTCTTAACCACTGAGCCATCTCTCCAGCCCCCCCAGCTAGAACCTTTAAAGGAACATCCCAGTAACCAAACAGAACCTTTAAAGGAGCATCCCAGTGACCAGACAGAACCTTGAAAGACGCATCCCAGTGACCTACTCCTGAAAACTCCATCCCCTCCCAATAACACCATCAAATCAAAATGCATTAACTCACTAATGAAGTTAGACCCCTCATGATCACCCACCTCCACGTCTGCTCGCTGCTGCAGGGGAACTAAGCCTTCGACACACCGGCCTCTTCAGGCGGTTCTTTAGAGCCACACCCAAGTGTCCGAATTCTCTTCTCACTGTTCAGACCTGCCTTTCTAGGTTTGTAGATCTAAGCCTCGCCAACGCTGTGTGGCGTCCCCTTCACAGGTCAGCTAGAGCACTCCGTGTCTGTGTCTCTTCTCACCCTCCTCTGAACCCCCATCATTTCTCCGAATCGCTCATGACAGAATGGAGGATATCTGCTCTTCTTTGCCTGCCTGCTTCTTTTCTCTCTTAGTGATTATCCAGGCTCCTTGTCAGGAAAGTCCCAGTAGTGTGGAGTCTTAATGGGGATTAGTGGCCACTTTTCTCTATAGAGTCTAGAGAAATCCGTACTAGGCTGAGGGACTGTCACACAAATCAGACCCCTCCCGCTGGAAGCTTCGTTTGGAGTCTTAGCAAGTCCTGGGGTCTGTTGAAGGATCCCATCCCTCTAAGAAATGGCGGAGGGTAGCAGGAAGAACCCCGGGCAGAGCCGCACATTTGCTTCTGTACTGGGTATTAAGTTTGATTTCAGCATATTCTCAGGTCTGGCTCGAAAGCCAAAGTTGAAAAGCCAGGCTTTGCTTGGAGTAAATAGGAACCAGACCCACAGACGTTTCTATGAGATGAAAGAGAGAGTGCCGTTGTTGAGATGACAGGGCTATACCTGTCAGTGCTAGCCCATCACTGGGTTCCAGGAACAGAGCAATGGACCATGAAGTTATGGGTCTGTAGTCAGCAGGAAAGGGCCCCGCGAGGACGGTCCATGTCCTAGAACCTGGGCCTGCCTCCTCATGATGAAAAGGACTTTGCAAGTGTTGGGTTGAGGATTCACAGTTGGTGGCGGGGAGTAATTCTGGAATATTCAGGGAAATCAACATAAGCACGAAGTCCTAACAGTGGCAACCCCCTCCTAATGAGGAAAGAGGAATAACTATGGAAGCAGGGTTAGAAAATACTGCACTACTGACCCAACAAGGAACGTGTGCAGTCTTTACAAGCTGGGACCCTCCCCAAAGCCTAGAAGAAGAGACAGCCCTCCAGACAACCAGAATTTAGTGTATAGCTTAGTGACATTTCCAACCCACAGAACTCGAAATACATTTGTGTCACTGGGGCTGGCTCTTGTGGCATACACCTTTAATCCCAGGACTTTAGTCAAGGCCAGACAAGGCTATATAGAGAGTTCCAGGTCAGTCCGAACTACACAGTGATACTTTGTCTCAAAAAACAACAAAAAACTGTGTTG